AAATTTAATTCGTCATCAAGATCATCAAGATTATCGGTAGATTTTTTAGTGATTATAATACTAATGATATTTTTGTAATTAATGGAATTCTTTGAGAAGTAGCAAAAGAATCACATTAAGTTTAAATTATTATTAATAAAGTTATCCATCAACGTAGGATTTGAGAGGCATGTCAAGTTGTTAAAACTTAAGCCTTTTTTTTATTTTAAATATCAAATGTCCTTTTTTTCAAAAATCCTTAAATTTTTTCTTATTTAAAAAGCCTAATGATCACAGTTCAATCATATAAATTATCAGATTACCTCCCGAGCGGCACAATTGAAAAATTCCAAGGAAAAGTATTTAAGGATTGTTGATTTCAATTGTCATCTATGCAAATAAGAGGAAGTGGTAATTTTATTTGTTGGAATTTTGTGTAACACAAATTGCTTTTATCCCCGCACATCATCGTAAGTAGAAAATTTTCATCTTAGCCAAGCCGATTAACACAAACAAGAGCCGAAAAGAAGAAAAGAAAAACATCAACATTTTAAGGAGAAAAAATTCGCAGCTGTTCTCACCTCTGAAAAATATTCAACAACATCATTTCAGTCGGCCGCAAGTAGCTTAATCGTATGGACGTGTTTTGACTAAACTGCGAATAAGGCAGTAAAAAAAATTACTTGGAAATTTCAAAAGTCGAGAACATAAACTTTTTGTGCTTTAAAGTTACATATTATTGGAAAAAAGTTTAAAGTGAATTAAAAAAAAAAAAATTATTTTAAAATGGTAATTAAATGAGAATTTAATTTTTTACTCTCCATTAACTTCTTGAAAGAATTCTTCTAAATATGAAAATTTGTGTAATTTTTAAAAAGTGTAGTGTTGTTTGATTTTTATTCCAAAAGTGATAAAGAACTTATTTTAAGGATTAAATAAGTTTTAAAATACTTAAATATTGAGTAAAGAAAATTCTGAAAGTTTTCAATTAAATCAAAATATTATTTTTGCAACATTCTTCAAAAATAAGTAATAATTATATCATAAAAATGACTAGTTTTTGAATATTTCTAGGAAATTTTAAGTTTGTTGCAATTAATATTCGTCGTCTTTTTAAAATTTTCTATGTGATTAATAATGAAGGGGAAGTAACCAGCTATTATTTTTTACAAAAAATAAATCAGAATTATTATTTAATTACAAAACATGAGTAATAATTCAAAACATGAGAATATTGAGTTTTAATATAATACCTGTGACAACGAAAATAGCAATTAATTAAGAATTTAAATTTTTCTGATAACATTTACAAAAAGTTGTTGTCTTTTTCTTGTTCTAATTGCATAATTGACTCATCAAAATAGAGATTGCTGGCGAAAAGAATGAAAGCATAAAGAAATTCTTTGTTTTGTAAACAGTTCTCATTTAAGGCCAAAATATTTTTAACATGTGCTTTTCACTGTATAGTAGAAAGTTTCACATTATAAATATTGCTATTTTAAAAACAACTTTGCAATGTAACCTGTCTTTGAGTCCTAAAATTAATATAATCTGTATTTTTTAAAAACAAAAATATTGTCATTATTTTATTTTTTTGTTTACTATTATTTATAGTATAAATATATACCTAAATATAAGTGAATAAATTTGTCAAATAAGTCACTAAAAACTCAAAATCAAAATTATTGCCAAATATAGATGCTGTGGGTGCGTAAAAAAGTAGTAAAGGTGTGTTTTTGCATGACTTTTTACAGAGAATAGTAAGATCACACGCAGAAGATTTTTGGAATTTTTGCATACCATATTAAATTTTTGTCTGACAAAAAAAGAATGTTCAGAACGTTAAACTTGAATATCTTTTTAGTGACACACAATAATGACGTTGTTTTAAAAAAAATATATATTTTTAAAAATACACGTGAGAACTTGACAGTAAATCCACTCTATTTTAAAGTTAGCATTTTTCTTTAAACTTGACCTACGAAATGCAGTGAAATGCAAAAAATTTAAAAAAACAAAACAATAAATATAGTTCAAATTATGCAGACCATGACTTCATAAATGGTAATAATTTTCATATAAAAAGTTTTACTCGAAAGTATTGGGCATCTTTGATTTGCTCAGTCAACTGTTTTGAAAACCTCTTTATTATCAAAACTTCATGCATTATTAGTCTAAATATTGATCTAAAGTAAACAATCGTCATATTCGTTCAGCCCTTTGAAAAGTTATTCAACTCCGATAATTGATTTCAAGCTCAATTGATGATTGACCACAAATTGTCTCATTTTAAATTTGATTTAAATAAAACTTCAAATGATTAACATGAAAAAATTTTAATAAAGGCGAGAAATTTCACATCTTTTATAAAGTGTGAATTCATGTAGCAGTCACAAAAGTTACAAAATGTATGCCTAACATTTGGTCACGTGAATCAGCAACGGACAGCGAGTTTGTCTGGGAAGAGTGGATTTGGAGTTAAAAATATCCTTAAAACACTTTTTTGAAAACAAAAATACTCAAAACTTTAATGAAAAAAGACTTAAACTTAAAGATTCTTGAAAATTAATTCGTAAATCAGTCATCGTATTATGCATCTATTTGAATTATTTTTGATTTTTTAAAATGTTTTAAAAATTTATTCAAGTGCAATCAGAACTTCTGTTTTGATTTAATATGAAAGAAAAAGTATTTTTTTTTTCTTGGTTTTGCCAGTAAAGTTTTATATATTCACACATTTCCGTGAATTTCAAAAGAATTGTATGCGTGAGCAGCAAAGAAAAGAAAATTTATTCTTCAATGTTAAGGTTGTAGAAGGTTGAACATTCATTATTACTTCCAAAGACCGCAAATCTATGCATGAGGAACTTACATGGTGATGATTTATTTCAATTACTATAAAATTTTTACAATTAGGTTTTTAAAATTGAAACAATTATCAAATATTAGGAAAAATAAATTAACAAACAAATATTTATGAATTAGTGATGGGAAAAACGCGAGCTGTAAACTAGTAAAGATAATAAGTTTTACTGAACTTCTTTTAATTTGTTATTTCCTTGAGATCACAAACTTCCGAAACAAAATTTATGATGCTTACAATATTGTTTGCTTTTTCGACTTTTTTTGTAACTTTTGTATCAAATTTTATTTAGAGACTTGTGCAATATTTGAATCCTTCTATTTATGCACGGATAAATTTCGTTAAACTTTTAAAATCTGTACTCAAGAAACTCATTCAAAATTTAACATTAATGAATTTAAGATATTACCATCAATAAATCAAATAAAATTCGTCATCGAATCAGTTCTGACATAAAAAAAGTTTTTTTGTCATTAAGCTTTTAAAATTACCTTTACATCATGACAGAGCAAAATCTTCTTTTTTTAAGCTATGCTCATAGTTCCTAAGATTCCCGAGACTTTGATTTGTTTTTCATTTGATGATCAGTTAATGACTGTAAATATAACAATAGCTCAAAAAAATAATTTGAAAAAGACGAATTGTACTTATTATGTTCAAAAATTTGCCCAAGGCACAAGGATACTCATTACAATACTAATTGTTAATTTCATAATTATTGTTATTATTATTATTATTTTTAACAAATTAAACTTTAAATATATTTGCGATTTTAATATTATTTTAATAACATTATTCTTAAGAATATTTCAAATCACAACAATAAAATTTGAAATTAAAACTAAATTTAAAAACATATCGAAATACCAAAGCATCAGATAATCACATAATAAATATCACTAACGATGAGCAAATGTTGAAAAACTTGAAACTTGTACTGATCTACCATAAAAATTCTTTGAACACCAACAAAATCTTGCTAATCTCAGATTATTTTAAATAAATTTTTGAATTCCTATAAACAAGGTTGAAAACTTGCTTGGTTAAAATAAGATTATTAGATTCTAAGTATAAAAATAATTTTTGAATTGCTTTAAAATCCTCTTTGTTAATACGCAAAAATTTAAATTCAACTATTTTTCCTAGTTTTTGAATTTTGTTTTCAACTTGTCTGTTCTTATCAAGAATTTACTAATAATGCAGAAAAATTAATGCTAAATCTTTAATTATCTTTTTGATTCGGCCGGTTACCTTTCGTGATCAATTTTATACTAGAATGTTTATCACGTTTGTTTTTTGAACCTACATCAACAGATATTTTATTGTTTTGTTATGGCCAAACGAGTTGTGGAATTAAGTTATTTTATGCACTTTTGTTTGTTTTGTAATAATCTGAACTTTTAGGGTTTAAGAATAAAACTTAAAATAAAATTTAAATGTTTATTTAATTTAAATTTGAAACACTTGAACATGTTAAATAATTGAACTATCTACAAAATGAGAACTTTTTAAATTAAATTGAATAAATCGTGTTTTAACATGTTTGAAGAATAAAATTAATGTTATCTTCTAAAGATATTAAATAAAGTTGACAATTAGGATAAATCAGTGATTTCGCAAGTTTTTGGTTGTTTACATAATACGGATATATTTTATAATCTTAAAAATATGCAAACACGTTTTGGTTTGATCATTGAAAATATTGAAACAAAAAAATCGCGAAATCATTATTTTTTAACAAAATTTATAAATAAATCAAAGAGATCAACGGCCTTAATCAACGACACGGATAGAACATTTATGAAATAAAATTTATAACTTAAATTGATCTTTTCTTAATTTTCGACCAGCAATATATTTTGTAAGATTGTTAGGAAATTACATATTTCATTAATACAGCAAGTGATTGAAAATTGTCAAATCAAATACTATGTGCTAACAAGTGATTGTATTTAATCGAAATCAAATGGATTTCCCCGAAGTAAAATTTCACAATCAAAAATTCTAGCTTGTTAATATAAACAAAAAATGGGATTTTCAAGTGATTACTAATAGAATAAGAAGATTTTTTTATCCATTAATATGAAAATACAAGTTTTTGGCATCCTAATTTTCTGATAAAAATGATTTAAATTAAATATAAATTTGATGTTTTTCAGATGGAAATTTTAAGGATGATTACAGTTGGTTGGCGTGATTTAATGGATAATAAATCAGACCCTAGAGTAGCTAATTGGCCACTGATGTCATCACCATTTCCCACCATAGCAATGTGCTTATCATATGTATTTATCGTAAAAGTAAGTTGACCTACATAATTTAAAGTATTGAAAAATTTATATAGTTTAAATTGTCTTATTGTGATTATGAAATGTTATTTAACAAATATTAAATTTTAATTTCAATTAGCAAAACTGTATGAATTTGTCTTGTTATCTAAAACATCAATTTAGTCTTAATTTAATTATCATAATGCTGCTCAACAATTTAATTTAAATGTGAATTAAATCTCTTAAAATTCGAAAATGTCACAGATATGAAGATATCACTTTTGGTAACCTTGTGTAATTTAACACTTCTAATTTGATGTTGTCTACAAGTATTGAACTCATGCATTATTATCGAATGTACCAAATAATTATGAAATCTTTAAAATCATTCCAAATACATTAATAAATTCTCCATATTGTTACAGTTTCTTGGGCCAAAAGTTATGGAAAATAGAAAACCATTCAAATTAAGAAAAATCATTGTGCTGTACAATTTTCTGCAAGTTGTATTAAGTTTTTATTTATTTTTCGAAGCTGGTATGTCTGGATGGTTTGGGAAATACAATTTGAGGTGTCAACCTGTCGACTTTTCAATGAACTCTGATGCACTAAGGGTGAGTAAAATTTCATTAGCGTATTTTTTTATTCAACAAATTTATAAAAACTTAATCCTTAATAAATCTAGATGGCAAATGGAAGCTACTTATACTATCTTAGCAAATTCTCAGAGTTTCTTGACACATTCTTCTTCGTATTGAGGAAGCGTTATGATCAAGTATCAACATTACATGTCATTCATCATGGAATCATGCCATTTAGTGGTACTTATTTATTTTATTAATTAGTTCCTTGATAGTAAGAGATTTCAATTTAATGAAAATAATTAATTTTAATACGAAATGTTTTATTATTTCATCAAATTTACAATCAAAGCTAATAATTATTTTAATTACTCATTACAGTTTGGTGGGGAGTAAAATTTATGCCAGGCGGTCACAGTACGTTCTTTGGATTTCTCAACACATTCGTTCATATTGTAATGTACACATATTACATGATAGCTGCAATTGGACCAGAAATGCAAAAATATCTTTGGTGGAAAAAATACTTGACAATTTTACAAATGATTCAATTTGTAGGAATCATGGTTCATGCATTTCAGTTATTCTTCAGTAATCCATGCAACTATCCGATGTCATTTGCTTATTGGATTGGTGGACATGGAGTTTTGTTCTACTTCTTATTCAATAATTTTTATAAGCAAGCCTACATGGCAAAGAAAAAGAAGAAAGTTGAAGATATCAATGGAAATGTTATAAAAATTCAAAATCAAACAATACTCACTCAAGATAAATATAATAGTAAAAATGAGCATGAGCAGAGAGAGATTGAACAAAATAATTTAAGAAATAGATTATAACATGGTATCTCAGTAAGAATCCTCGCATTGAATAAAAATTTTCTACAATCTTTAAATCTTTTTTATATGTTCATTAATTATTTCATAGAATGCATGATTTGCTTAATATACGAACTAAAAATAGAAATGTGATGAAACAAGGAAACATAAAATAAAATAAAATAATTTAAATTGACAATAATTCAATTCTTAGTTTTAAATATTTTTTTCAGATTTTTGCCCATTTGTAAAGAATATGTATTTCATTAAAGTGTTACATCCCTGAATCTCTTGTAAAACAACTTTTTTTATAAGAAATATTTCTTTTCTTTTAACTTTTCAGCTGATTCATAAGTCCTTGTTGCTTAAAATCCACATTTCAGACGACTTAAGTTTCCTGCTAAAATACCGCTTGACATATACTTTTTACTTCCGTTTTAATTCCGCAATGGGAATTATAAAGAAAAATTAATCATCATGTTTGAACATACAAGATTTCAGCCGTGATAACCGAGCACATAAAACGATAAAGCACTAAAATAAACATTTCAATCGTTCTTATTTATATTATCGTATTATACATTTGGTATATCCTAGGGGTATTTGGGGATCTTTGAACCCTCTCCCTCACTGAATATGCATCTGTTAAAGAAGATTCTTGATTTCAATAAACTTGTTGCTCTAGAAAAAATTGTTTCAATAACAAAATAATTCATAATCGAATAATAACTGATATTCATTCTTAACCCTCATAATTTTAGGAACGTGGTTCTTGAGTATTTACATAGTTAAAAGTTTGATGCTAAAACTCATAGGAAGACACATCGTTTGTTTCATTTCCACACCTATTTTATTTTGCGACTCTTAAATATTTCATTGCCATAGACAAAAAACAATCAGTAATTTTTTTATGAATGACTGAAGGTGCATCGATAATCATTGGAATAAAAGTTGTTATTTTTATTTATATCAAAAAAATGAACAGTTAAAAACATTTAATGCAAATCTTCCTTATTAAGTTTAATAACCAGTTTTAAAACTGTTTTTTTTTTGTCAGTTATTAATGTATACTGTATTTCAGGTCCATTTGGGGTCACTATCCTTTTATGCTTACAGTAAATATAAAATTTTTACCAAATTAATTCTTATTAAAAAACAAAAAAAAACTAATAAACTGATAAGCAATGCCTCATACTTTTAAAATAAAAACATAAAAATTGAAGAACAAAATTTCAGAGAAGAAACAAATTTTCGAAAAAAACCTTAAATATTTTGGTGATGCTTGTATTTTTAAACTACTTAGCATAAATTTCCATTAGAAGTTTGAAAAACAACAACAAATAATTTTATAATCGTAAAAAAATATTTATAACGTCATTCGCAAGTTACAAAATAAGTTATAAATTCTAGTAATTATTACTGAAAAGTGTGATTATAGAATTTTCCAGAATCTAAATAACATTAAATGTTTACTACTAAAACTAGAGTTAAAATGTAATATGAACCGAAAATTTATGCGCATTTAAAAGAACATACTAAGATTGTTAAAATGATTCAAAGGATTAATGAACTTTTCAAAGATAATAATAACTTGACTTTATGTAAAGATTTAGGAAATTAGCAATATAAAACTTTTTTATTGACAAGATATAATGAAAAATTTTGTAAAAGAGAGGTTCGGAATCAAAAAGAAATTTTGTTGAATGTGTTATTAATTCAACAGTATCAGCTCAAAAACAATATTTGACGACATAAAATGAGACATTATGACAAATTTGACGCAATAGCGCATTTAATAAAAAATTCAATTGAGACGCTTTAAACTGGTTTTATTGATTTGATTAAGTTGCAATTTTTTGTTGCATTTTTCCAAGGCCTTTGAAGGCGTGAATTGAAATAAAATAATGCGGAAATGAATTTTGAAAATAAACAATTTTGAGAAGAAAATTTTGATTAATATTTAATAAATTTCTCAAATTAAGACGTATCTATTTAATATTGGTTTTCGAAACCGTTGACTTTAGCTTCTGCGATATAGCTTAGATGGATATTCTATGCACGTTAAACAATCAAGAAAATGTATTTAAACAGTTTTGTGTTTGTGAGAAAATAATTATAGCATTAATAATTCTTATTACATTAACAATTAATCTCGTGTTTCTGATTATTATATTTATCTTTTGCGTTTTTTTTTTAATTTTAATCCTACAAAGCTTCAATGACACCCTTATAATGTTTAAAGCAGTCTATAGTAATAAATATCATTTTGGAAGTGAGCAATTTAGAGCGAAAATTATAAGATCTATATCATTCTTGTTATTTACAACAGATGATTTATTTGACTTATTGACATGAATTTTAGTTTTTAAGTTGAATTATCGTGCCCCTAATAAGTAAACGGAATAAATCCCTTATTGACTAATAAGTCTTACAATTTTTTTTCGAAAGAATCACACTTTTTAATTAAGTTTTTTCTTAACACATCAAAAAAATGTAACCTTTGATTAAGAGCTAACATGGTCAAAAATTAATATTTCTTATCAAACATCTTTTTAGAGTTTACTGGAAATTTTTTCAAATTTGGCTTATCGGAAAACTTTTGCGATATTTTGTAGTTCACTGCCTTAGTCAGATCTTTAAAGAATTTTACATTTTATTAATTCCAGAAATGCAAAAAAGAAATTTTTTAAAAATCATAGTCTTACTAAAAAGGAAGAGCACACTTTTTGAACTATAAAATCTATTTTAACTTAAAAATTTGTGTTTTATTTTGTTTTTAATTTTAATTCATAAATCTCAAAGCCCAACATTTTTTTCATGAGAATCAGATTTTCTGTCACATTTACTTGACATAGCCATGCACCCCACTGAAGGTCATATTTATCTTTGGGATTACATCTGGTTTATTTGAAAATAATTTTCATCATAATCGCTTTCCATGGTGTGAATTTAATTACAAAATATGTGTAAAGCAAAATTACGATAAGTTAATTAAGTTCACCTTCGCAAAAACTAAAACTTGACCTTGGCCATTGATCTAATTCTTATAATGCATTGCAATATTAAAAAATCAAAAAATAATCACCAATCTTTTAATCTCTTTAAATGAATACAGAAAAGAAAATTAAGTTTTTTCGCATGATTTTTTTTTTCTTCTTTTTTGCAAGTATGCATTACTTGTGTACATGGTTGTATGTGAGAATAAGTCGTTCTCTTATTGTTTTTTTTTGTATAGCTACGACTGGTAATGTCTAATTTTATTTGGCACTAGTGTTGTTAAGTAAAGGAACACAATTAATAATGGAAATTTAAAAATCATTTAATCTTGTATGCATATAGAGCATAATATTTAAAGAATTTAATGGTAAAAATCCATAACTCAAAGTGACGTAACAGCTGAACGATCCCTCTTTGTAATCGTTTTAATAGCTCGTTGGCCAATAGAACATTTATTATACTCCATAAAATTATGTAACCCACAATACAAAACAAATTGTTGTTCCAGTCTGTTCCACTTTCAGCATAGTTCCAACAAAAAAATACTATACAGCATTTATTTAATTTCATTTAAAAAAAATTCACGAAAAAGACATAAAATGGTAAGAAATTACCAGAAAAGTTAAAAAAAGAATTTTCAGCAAAAAATACTCCTGACGGGACTCGAACCCGCAATCTTTGGCTCGCTCCAACATGAACATCATTAGGAGGCCAACGCCTTATCCATTAGGCTACAGGAGCAGATGAAAATCAAATAAGAAATTTGACAAAACGCATTCTTATATTTAAGGTGTGACTGATAACGATAATTTTACAAATTTAGATTAAATTAAATGAGTAAAGAATTTTTTTATAAAAATACGATTAAAATTTTAATAAGCAAATTGAATTAAATTTATTATTTCACTAATCAAAAACTGTTGAAAGGTTCTAAGCCATTGTGAATTCATAAAATTTCATTTTCAACATAATTTTTATGTTATGCATGCTATGCATTAATGCTGTTGCGAATTTTAAATTAATTTTTATTCAAAACTGCGATTTCTCTAGCTTCATTGTGAAGATATATAAAAATTTTTAATTTTAGTAAACCGAATTTTCATACCATATCCTCTGCTTTTAAAACGACATCATTAAAAAATTTATCTTGTGTAAAAAATAATTTTAATAATCATTTTAAATATTCCATTTTAAAAATAATATTTCCTTTAAAACTTAACCAAAATAACATTTTTTTATTGAAATGTCATTTTATTCCTATTCGTTTTCCATAAAATTTTGGAAATGGGATCATTTTTTGTCTCAAATTTTGTTTAAAAATCAAATTCAACCTAATCAAATAAAAAAACTAATTGCATAATAATGAAAATTGTAAATATAATTATAATGATATTGTTTATGAAAAGCAATATTAATTGTGTAAAATATTTCAAGTTTCTGTCGGTTAACACTTGCACAAATAATAGCGAAATTGTGATTTTAGAAAAATGTGAAATTGAGAATGCATCTTTTACTTTGATTGTTACTCTTAAAACTCCAATCACCAAAATGCTTGTAGGTTTATTAACAAATGCTAAAATAGTTTTTCGGAATCTCACACATTTTTTGAATATTTGTTCCTTTTAAGGTTACGATTACAGTGCATTTTCTTCAACACAACAAAATCATTCAAAGTCTTCACATTAAACAGCTAGATTGGTGTCAAACGTTTAAGCATGGAAAGGTGCCATCAAATGTTTTATGGAGAATTGTTATGAGTGGATTTGGTAAATATTTGAGACATTATACAAAATGTCCACTTAAAAATAAGGTTATTTTTGAAAAAGTAAATGCAGACTCGAAAATGATGCAATTTATACCAATCGTAAAAGTTCGTTTTGATATTTTAATGGATAATATCGGAGAAAATAAGCAACATGATTTATTTAATGTTTCGTTTACTGGTGAAGTTTTTGATCAATAAAATAAAAGTAACATTTTTTGATGTTAACCCTCTTCCTAGCTACACATCTTGTTCGAAATCAGTGAAAGAGTCATTCATGAATATTGTTTAAATGGTGTTTTTGTATATATTTAACTTGATAATTATACAAAGCACAACCAATTTTCTACATCCATGAACTTTAAAATATTTAATTTATAATTCTTATTTCCAGAATTTCAAACAATTTAAATTTAATATTTTAGTCAGTTGGAGAGTGAAATTAAGAGATCTTATAAAACATAATGAAATTTAGCATTATATTTCTATTATCAATGATCGTTTGTCATGTAAATTGTTCCAAGATCTTAAAATTTATAGGTCTGAACGATTGTACTAGTAACAATACTGTTGTACAGATTGACAAGTGTGAAATCGATGATATTTATGGATCTATTAAATTAAATCTCAAGTCTCCGATTGTCAAAAGTATTGTAAGTTAGCTAAATATATTTAATTCAATTTTCCGAATGTAAGGTTGATTTCTTGAAGTTTTTTTCTTTACGGCTACGTTCTTAGTCACGATAATTTTCTAAATTCTAGCTGACTTTAAAAATTGATATAATACAAAATAATAAAGTCATACAAACTTTAAATATTCAAAAACTTGACTGGTGTTCTGTGTTCAATTCTGGAAAAGTACCAACAAATATGCTATGGAAAATAATAATGTCAGGATTCGGCAAACAGTTTAGCAAATATGCAAAATGTCCCATAAAGAATGAAATGGTTTTAAACAGAATTAAGGCTGATCCAAAAATGATGATGTTTTTGCCATCTGCTATTATAAATTCTAGCATTTATGCTGATATATATGGAGGGAATGGAGAAAGAGATTTTGTCAGTATTAATTTAATAGCTCAAACATCTGAAAGTTAAATTATATAGAAACAAATCAGGATGTTTCTATCTTCCACATGACAAATATTGCTGATTTTCCTGTATTTCTTTCTAGTATTAAAGAATAAAACTTTACTGACCAGAATTTTATTTAAAGCAACCATTTCAATTATCTTATAAAGTTTTCTCAATCACATTCCATCAGAAATTGTTTAACCAAAATTAAATCATTATGAATCAATCAAAATTCATCCTTGAAACTAGTCCAAATAGAAGAATTCTAGAAACTTTAGACGTGATTAATAGAGCTACAGATAGTTCACAAGGAGTCAGCAAATCTCGCTTATTGCTCATTACATTATCAACAACAATAATGATGGCACTGAAAAAGCCATTATCACGAGAATATTATCAATGGACGAGAGCATATCTTGAAACAATTAAGAATGAAGATGGGACAAGTTTACCAAATATTTCAAAATTTCTAAAATACATTGATCGCGTTGAAAAGAATCACAATATTGACGACATATTGCAAAGCACGAGAATTTCAATAACGCCAGAAGAGGAAATTGAAATTGTTATTCAAGAACCGAGTGAGGATATTTTACAACTTCCCGATAATACGATATTGAGCAGCACAAAAATTCCTAAAGTTCAAATTCAAAGTCCAGAAAATGAAGAAATTGAAGAAGAACAACGTCAAAATGATGCTGATCCAGAAGAGGAAGATGGAATTGAATGATGAATCATTGTTCAAAACCAATTTATAAATTCAATTTAAATAAATCGTGAATAAAATCAGCATTAAGGTTCAATATTATTTATTATTTGTTAAAAAATTTCAAAAAATATCAAGCTAAGCTCTAAATTGCTTCTTCAAAATTCATTGAACAAAATTTCCGTTGAATAATTTAAACATTTTCAAACACTTGATGAGTCTACTCAGAAGTTTTATCAGTTCAGCAATTCAATAAAAGTTCATATTTATTTTGGTTTCAAACCAATTGTTATTTTTATGGATTAATGAACTTCGAAATAGTAAAGTCAAATTTGTTTAAATTAAAAGGTTTGATTTTAGCATTTTCTATAACAAACTTATAAAACAAAGTTAAATCATTATAAAATTACACTTTTTTGGATGGTAAATAAATGTTTAAGCAGTCAAAATATCATAAAAAATATATTGTTGATACTTGCTTTTAAACTTCCACGTCTGTTAAGTAAGACATATATGAATTGTGGAATATTCTTGAATGTTAAAAGAACAACTTCTTAAAAATAAAAAAGCGAAACCAAAAACTGTCGATTTTCGTGCTAGAATTTGTTACGCAATAAATTGACTGCTACAATAAATCGTTCAGTCTCTTATCGTTAATTCCATGCAAAGCACATTGCACATATCTACAAATTTGCTTATTTATTTATGTTTCCATCGTTCACACTATTCATAAACGAACTCAGACAAGTAAAGGTTTTTGAAGTGGTTCTGTTTGTGTGATTATTAAAATATTGTTCAGTGGTGCAGTTTCTTTCAGTTACATCGAGAGAGTTGACAGCTTAAGAACAAATTTTCCGATCTTAAATTATTAAAATGACGAAAGGAACAACTGGAAAATTCATCAATCAGAAATGTCAGAAACTTGTTACTAATGCAGTTTTGGAAGCTGAAAGATTAGAAAACTTTGATTATAACAGAATAAAAATTAATTTGATGAGTTTATTAAGCGATGGAGGAATGCATACAAAAATCCATTTTTATGGATCTCGAGTTATCGGATTAGCTCATAAAGAAAGCGACTTGGACATTTATATCGAATACGGTATGTTAACTCATGCGGCCTGTTTCACTAAGGTGGATTATCCTCATTTTAGGATTATCTATTTCTTCGATGCGTGGAAAATCCAAATAATTTCTTTCTGATGTAGAATTAATTGGTAAATAATAATCAAGCTAGTTTGAGAAAAAATCATTTTTCTTGTATAGTGAATATCGCGAAAAAATAATTTTAGTATATGGATTATCCTAGGATAATCCTGAAGATTATCCGAATTTTCAATCTTGGTGGGACCCAGTTTTAACATTTTAGATTAATTATGTGGATAATCCTAGGATAATCTCAGGATAATCCACTTACTAGGATAATCTTTTTTTTGTGATCGTCAAAAAAATATTTTCTTTAAATCCATTTTTTCTGATTCACCGTGCAGTTTAACGAAGTAAAAAATATTATGGATTATCCTCGGATTGTAAAGTGGATAATCCGATCGATGGATAATCCACCTTAGTGAAACAGGCCGATGGTTTCTTAATTTCCACGAGTGTGAAATCTTTTTTAAATAGGTGACAACTTTTATTCGGACAAGAATGTTGAACGAGATCGTCAGGTCCTTGAAATGATAGCTAGAATATTTGAAAACAAAACATATCAAACATGGCAGATTACCGCTAAGATTTTGACTGCATCTGTTCCTATTTTACAAGTTATTTACAAACCGAGCAACATTAAATGTATGCTACTTAAAATAATATTTTTGATAAAAAATCTTTTAACATTTATTTTTAAACCAGGTGATATAAGCGTTTCGAATGGACTTGGTGTTGCGAATTCATTGATGATGGCACACATTTTTAATCTTCAACCAGAAGCCAAAAAGTTTTATCAATTTATGAAGATTTTTTTAAAGCGATACAAAAAATACTTCGAAGGATATTTATTAAAATTATTAGTAATCTTCTTTCTACAGAATGAAAAAGCTTTCCCTTCAATTAAAATGATCCAGGAAAATTTGTCTATTACCTTAATAAATGGTAAGCATGATTAAACATGAAATTTCTTTTTTCATTACTTAATTTTTAACTTCTTTAATCAAAAAGGATGGCCGACTGTTGAGATTAACACAACTCGTAACATCTCTTATTATGGACTGAATGAAATGAAGAACTACAAAAGTTACATCCCAAAATTTTTTGAATTTTACTCAAAATTTCAATATAATAAATATGTAATGTCAATCTATGACGGGAAGCAATTAGAGCGGTTTAAATATGAGTATCAGGATGAAATTAATGAGCACATTCTTTGTATTTTTGGTCCTATCAATAGAAAACATAATATCGGGAAATATCCGTCTAGAAAGGATGTAGAATATTTTGTTAAACTATCTCAAAGTTTAGAAGGAGAATTTAACAAGAAGTATGATTTTGATTCTTAAAAGTTTTAAATGAACTTAAGCAACATATAACTTTGTAAAATAAAATTCTAAGTGCAAACTGATTGGCAAATATTTTTATGTCCTTTTTATATTGCGATTTTTAATGTAACACATATAAACTATGGCACAAATTTGAAATAAAAATCCTTTTTTTTTAAAAAAACTTGTAAATCAATAATTTTTATAATTCATAGGATTCACAGGTTTGTTACGTAACTCTATTTTAAACAAACCAGAAACTTTAATGAATGAAATGAAAAAATAATATTTCTACGCAAAATTTATAACTAGACAGCACTATGGGATAAAATCGATTTTTTTTTTCAAAAATTATTTTATTGGCTTATTTGAAAGGTCTTTATCCAAGGAATCAGATTTTATTTTAATTTTGGCCCAAAGTGTAGCAGTGCTGGAGATATAGCCCGAAATGTATTTTGATGACCTTCGATAGTTAATATTTCAATTTATCAGAACTTTTTCTTGTCTCAACCAATTATCTTGAAACTTTTTTGAAATGACAAATACAAGCCGAAGCTTCAATATAAATATCAGTCACATAATTTTTACTTCTTGGAAAGTGCTTAAAAATTGAGAAAACTTCAAATGTAGTACTGCACACTTTTTTTGAGTATGTGGATTTCTGATGAACTTGAATGTTTTTCTTTTTTCATAAAATTGTTACCCTTTACTAGATCTACAAGAAAAATATCCCTTTCAAGGTTTAAAATTATATTTATGCATCAAAAAATTGAGATTTTTTCATTGAGACTTCAATTGACTATAACTTCATATTCCAGAACTTCTCATTGAAGATGAAAAACGATGACATTTTAAATAAAAATGGTCCAAGTCCATGCCAAAAACTCAAATTGATTTTAAAATATCAAAAATACTATTTTCTTACATTCCTGAAAGTTTTATCAAGTTTGGACATGATTTTGATGAAAAAAGTTGAAAAAGATTTTTGAGGTGCATGCAGATGACATGTTTCAAATGGTTCAAAGTTGAAAATTTGGTGGAACTTTTTACCAAGTTTTCACAGTTTTAAAAAGATACAAGTGAGGGCTATATAAAACAGTCAAAACTTGTCTCTCGACTCACTTGGAATATTCAGTTATAGTCAATTGAAGTCTCAACGAAAAAATCTCAATTTTTTGATGCATAAATATAATTTTAAACCTTGAAAGGGATATTTTTCTTATAGATCTAGTAAAGGCTAACAATTTTATGAAAAAAAAAAAACATTCAAGTTCATCAGAAATCCACATACATACTCAAAAAAAGTGTGCAGTACTATATTTGAAGTTTTCTCAATTTTTAAGCACTTTCCAAGAAGTAAAAATTATGTGACTGATATTTATATTGAAGCTTCGGCTTATATTTGTCATTTCAAAAAAGTTTACAGTTACATTTCGGGCTATATCTCCAGCACTGCTGCATTTTGAGCCAAAATTAAAATAAATTCGGATTCCTTGGATAAAGACCTTTCAAATAAGCCAATAAAATAATTTTTGGAAAAAAAAAATCGATTTTATCCTAAAGTGCGATGGCGGGTTAAAAAAGTTATGTTTCTTAATAAATGAACGACCCAACACACATTAAAATTATTTTATGTTCAGTTAAGTTATATCGTAGCTCAAAAAAATATATAATCAGGTCAAGTTTTATTAAATTATATTATTTTGACTTCTTTTGAATCCGATATACAATTTAACATTTTTAAGAATCATTTTGTAAACAATTAATTTGAACCTAATCAAAATAAAGAGATTTTTCTTAGAAAATTCTTAAAACCGTTAATATAATAAGTCACTATCACTACACATCCACAAGTAAAGTTTCACAACATTTTAAAAATCTTCGTTTCAAATTTCATTTTTATGCTTGATCTTTCACAGTTTGTTTATTCTAAATAAGTGTTCATGTATGTGTTTCTAACGATATTTTTGTTGCATGCACATCTTAAACACTTATTACTATTGCAAAAATAGATCTCAGTTTGAAGTGACAACTGCTTGAAGTGATCAGTAAAATATAAATTTTATATGAAAATGGTGAAATTTACTTTCAACTCGAAAATCCAAGGAAAACTTATTTGGTTCTTTGGTAAAGGAGATGAAATAGCACTTTATACATCAAGATACTCAGCTGGGCGTTCTGATATGACAAGATATAATAATGTGAGAATTTTCTTGGAACGCGCACTAAGCATGCATAATTTAACCTCAACAGTTCATTACTATGGATCTCGAGTAAGTGGAACATCTGTTGGAAGATCCGATATTGATTTCTTTGTCGAAATTGGTAAGTCTGAGAAATTCTTTTAATTAAAAAGTGTTTAATTTTGAGAGTAAAATATTTAAACTTAATTTTGTAAACATTTTGAACAATCTTGAAGTGGCTTAAATCTTAAGATAATAATTCATACATACATGAATATTTTTGTCTTAATTAATATGATGATCATTAATTTCAGGAGACAATTTTTGTACACCAAACAGTCAAGAAGATGCAGCAAAAGTATTAAGAAAAATTAAAAATGCAATTGATAAGTCTAATGATTTTAAAGTCACAATCTTTCTACCAAAGGCGACTGTTCCTCTATTGAGAGTTGTTTATTTAAGAACCGACTTTGAATGTAAGTTAACATTTTTCTCATTTGGGTATAACAAAAAGTTTTTAAGTTTTTCATTTTTCTAAACAAAAACTTATAATTTAAGGTGATGTGGTTGCAAGTAGTGGACTGAGTGTTAGACTTTGTCATATTATCAATCATTTAAATTCTCTTCAGCCTCAAATCATCCCACTTTTCCATTACATAAGAATTTGGATACACTTATGTGGGATCAACATGAAGCGATATGTTCAGTTTCTGTTGATTTTTTTCTATCTTCAACAAAACAGCTATATGCCGACCATACAAAACATTCAAAAAGGGTTGTCGAAAGAATTTATTGGTGGTAGGTTGTACTTTATATTGTTTGACTTTACTTGATTCCAAAATTAATTTTTTAGATTGGGAAGTGCAGTTTAATCGAACTCGAACATTGAATTCTTATGGCTTGAAGAAAATGGTTAGATATGCGAATCATATCGTTGGATATTTTAGATTCTATTCGAAAATAAATTTCGAAGAGTTTGTTTTATCCATTTATGAAGGAAAATGCATTAAACGCTCAGAATATAACAAGTACGACAGTTACAAAATTAATAAGCCATTGTGCATTGCAGGACCACTCGGTAAGTTAAATTATATTTCTAATTTCATTATTATATAACCAACATTAGCCTAAACTTTCAATTCTTAAGATCTTGGCTTCAACAGTGGTCAAACGGTTTCAAAAGCTGCCATGCAAAAGTTTCCAGGAATGTGCCAATCATCAATTGATTTTTTGGTCCAAAGAGGATGGAATTAAAAATATTTTCTGATTTAGCATTCAAAGTTTATTATTAAACGAAATTGAAGAGCATCAAACCCTTAAAAATTTTTTATGAATTTAAATAAAAAAAATATTTCTTAGTTTTACCTAGAAAGTTTTGTTTATTTCTTTTACGAGACTTTTACTTTCAAATCGGAAAATCTTCAATTTTTTCTTTCAGCAGAAAATGACAACAAATTGAGTCATCAAATCAAAATTATGATCATCAAACTGCTATCAAGAAATAAAATTAAAACCAATTAAAATTGAATTGGTTTTTTATTTATTTATTATGATTCGTAAAACTTTGATAAGAACAATTTTGACAAAACTCTGCTTATTATTTGATTGCCGGATTTATCAAAGAATTCCAAAAAAAAAATTCTGATTTAGGTATTTGTGATAAATCATGGAAATAAATTTAAACAGGAAAAAAGTGGAACAATTTATTGACTATTATTGAATGCTTCAAAAGCAATTCAAACTAATCTTTCCACGAAATCTTCGAGAGTTTTGATAAGATTAAAAGAAAATGAACTTTATTACAAAAATTAACTTCATTTAATACAAACAGTAACTATTGCACAGTTCACAACTCAATCTCACTTAAAAATGATTGAAGCAACAAATATTTTTGAAGACTCACCGATCCAAGTGAAAAAAAATGATTCATTCTTAACTGTAGATAGTACGATCCATATAATGATTTTAAAGATATTTACAAGAAAAGCCAATTTTTACTACGTTTTTCTTAACTTGCTTTCTTATCTGTTTATCTGTTTATCTGTTTATCTGTTTGTCGAGGGCAAATCTTGTAATCGATTTTTCGACCACTTCTACTGCTCCAATCGAGCTAAAATTTTTAATGCACACGTATTCCCGGTGACAATACAATATTTTAACACTTTGGAAACACAAAAATGCTTAATTATAGTACAATTTATGTAAAAGTTTTTTATATGGGAAAAAATCCAATGTCAATGATATAAAATTTTGATTTGTATTAAATATTATACATGTGATGCTCTAAAGTCATTTATATGATTCATTATAGTTTAATTAATATTACTAATTATTAATTATACCATAAATTTGAGCAGCTAAAGATATTCTGGTAAGACAAAAAAATTGACATGCAATTTTTTCATGAATATTCGTAAGTGAAAATTTGAATTTTCAAAAAAACCGTTAAGCACAAGTCCGTTACGAATTAATGCAAAATAACTATTAATATGCGATGTGCATTTAGCACACATTGATTGAGCATAAATTTATGCTGTTTTAAATGTATTGCATTATTTATAACACTTCACCAACTTAATTAAATTGACTTTTCTTTTTATTAACGGCTTGACGTATTTTTGCATAACATATAAATGATATTCATTGAATTTAAATTTGAAAATCCGTTATAAATACGTTACATATGTGATTTGCATCTTTATAGTAAGAATCCACACGTTATGAAGTAGAAATGGTACAGATAAAAACAAAATCTTTACGAGTGATTTTTAATGTACTTTACTAATGAATGCTTTAAAAAAATTAAATTTTATAAAACGAATGAAAAATTTTGAAAGTCGTTACTAATTTCCCATTGAAAACTGGTAATTTATAAACAGTTGAACGTAACGGAGTGAAACGAAGTGGAGTTCAACACACCTGTAACCTATAAACCTACTGTAATCTATAAACAGTTGAACGTAACGAAGTGAAACGAAGTGGAGTTCAACACACCTGTAACCTATGAACCTACTATAATCTATAAACAGTTGAACGTAACGAAGTGCAACGAAGTGAAGTTCAACACACCTGTAACCTATAAACCTACTGTAATCTATAAACAGTTGAACGTAACGAAGTGCAACGAAGTGAAGTTCAACACACCTGTAACCTATGAACCTACTGTAATCTATAAACAGTTGAACGTAACGAAGTGCAACGAAGTGGAGTTCAACACACCTGTAACCTATGAACCTACTGTAATCTATAAACAGTTGAACGTAACGAAGTGCAACGAAGTGAAGTTCAACACACCTGTAACCTATAAACCTACTGTAATCTATAAACAGTTGAACGTAACGAAGTGCAACGAAGTGAAGTTCAACACACCTGTAACCTATAAACCTACTGTAATCTATAAACAGTTGAACGTAACGAAGTGAAGTTCAACACACCTGTAACCTATAAACCTACTGTAATCTATAAACAGTTGAACGTAACGAAGTGCAACGAAGTGAAGTTCAACACACCTGTAACCTATAAACCTACTGTAATCTATAAACAGTTGAACGTAACGAAGTGCAACGAAGTGAAGTTCAACACACCTGTAACCTATGAACCTACTGTAATCTATAAACAGTTGAACGTAACGAAGTGCAACGAAGTGAAGTTCAACACACCTGTAACCTATAAACCTACTGTAATCTATAAACAGTTGAACGTAACGAAGTGCAACGAAGTGAAGTTCAACACACCTGTAACCTATGAACCTACTGTAATCTATAAACAGTTGAACGTAACGAAGTGCAACGAAGTGAAGTTCAACACACCTGTAACCTATAAACCTACTGTAATCTATAAACAGTTGAACGTAACGAAGTGCAACGAAGTGAAGTTCAACACACCTGTAACCTATAAACCTACTGTAATCTATAAACAGTTGAACGTAACGAAGTGCAACGAAGTGAAGTTCAACACACCTGTAACCTATAAACCTACTGTAATCTATAAACAGTTGAACGTAACGAAGTGAAGTTCAACACACCTGTAACCTATAAACCTACTGTAATCTATAAACAGTTGAACGTAACGAAGTGCAACGAAGTGAAGTTCAACACACCTGTAACCTATGAACCTACTGTAATCTATAAACAGTTGAACGTAACGAAGTGCAACGAAGTGAAGTTCAACACACCTGTAACCTATGAACCCCCTATAATCTTTATTTCTCTATTTCATTAGAATAAGACTAAAAAGTTGAAAATAAAATACTTTATAAAAAAAACTTTTTAAAAAAACTACGTTTTTCGCGTAGACTAAAAAGTAGAAAATAACTTTTATTCTTGGTTGTAAAGAATTTGGTTTTAAATTTTCAGATTATATTTAATAAATTTTTATATCCTAGTCAATATTGTTCACAAAGTTTCGAATAAGTGCATTTTGATCTTATCGTATAACTCAACAACTTAAAAACGTGGGCGCATTATAAGAGGAGAAATAAGTTTATGTGAAATCAATACTTTATGATAAACTTAAATTAATGCGCCCACGTTTTTAAGTTGTTGAGTTATACGATAAGATCAAAATGCACTTATTCGAAACTTTGTGAACAATATTGACTAGGATATAAAAATTTATTAAATATAATCTGAAAATTTAAAACCAAATTCTTTACAACCAAGAATAAAAGTTATTTTCTACTTTTTAGTCTACGCGAAAAACGTAGTTTTTTTAAAAAGTTTTTTTTATAAAGTATTTTTTTTTATTAGAAATATCATAACAAATTTAAATTTTTATAACAGTGAAAGTGTTCATATTGGAAATATAGTTTATCATATTCACCATCATCATAGAAAAGAAATGATAACAATGATTATGATTCCATGCAAAGTGATTCTTTTGGGTCATTGACATTAGAAACAATTCAAAATTTTGTATCATAAAGGTATAACCTTGATTTGTTGAATAATTAAGTTATATATATATATTGATCGTAGGAATCTTATTATTCTTGTAAATATTGTTATCGTGAAAAGAAGTTTATTTAAAGTTAAAAAATTCTATTTTGCTTTTCTGCAAGGATTAAAATAAAGAATACATTATTTTAATTATCCAAGAGGTTATGAGCCTTATCGCAATGAAGTTTGAAGAAGAAGAATCTGCCATGTGCGAGCGATTGAACTGCAAGAATTATCGTGTCTGGGCACTTCGAATGAAGATGATTTTGAACAAGGAAGATCTATGGGATATCATCGTTCCGGGAAGTTCAAAACCAGAGGATGCAGTTAAAAGCTTGAAAGCATTGGCACATATTGTTTTGATGGTTGATAATGATCAACTGGTACATGTTTCGGATGCGAAAGGAGGAAAGGAAGCATGGGATTCATTGAAGAATTTTCATCACAACGATTCAGCTGGACATAAGATGAGACTTTATAAGCAACAGTTCAAGACTGAATTATCATTGGGTGGTGACATGCAGAAACATTTGCAAAAATTGTTTGAAATTTTGCAAAACATCAAGGAATGTGGTGATCATCTTGAAGAAACCATGATTGTGAGTGCTATTTTATCAAGTCTGCATGCTGAATATGATAATTTGGTGACTGGATTAGAATCATGGAAGGAGAAGGATCTAATTGTTCAAAATATCTAGCTGAAACTCATCGATGAATGGGAAAGGCGGTATGAAAATGTAAGAAAAGGATCCCTAACAGACAAAGAGTATGCTCTCAATGAGTATCTCTTTTTGAATCGTGTTTTGAGCAAAGATGATTCAAAGTTGTGTCACGTGATGTTGTGTTTTTAAAAGAAAAGTTCATGAAGATAAATCAGAATTCATCTCATGAAATGAAGAGAAGTAGCGGTGATTTGGTGCCGTTCCCGTTTTCGTCTGGTTCAATGATTCTGAATTGTTTTATGATGCTGAAGACTCTCAAGATGAAAGTGAGGTAGAAGAGCATGAAGAAGAGACAGATCAAGCACATATTGATTGTGCATTTAAATCGGCTTTTTCCTTTGACAAAAGTACAATAATAAATAATAATAATAATAATAATAATAATAATATTGAACATGGAGAATTTGAGAATGACCAAAGTCAGGAAATCATTGTTGATCATAATTTAATGAATGATCAGAACGTTTCGGTTCAGGAGGAGAATGGAAGAAGTGATGAAATCAGAGTATCAAGTAGAAGAAATAAAGGTCAAAAACCAGAACGTCTTGGTGATTTTGTTACTTATTCATCAAGAGTTGATTTTGAGCCTAAGACACCCGAACAGGCTATGAGTTGTGTTGATGCTGATAAGTGGAAAAAAGCTATGGAAGACGAGATT